GTAAGAGGTGCTGGGTGGCCTTCCCAGCAGTGCGAGCAGAGGGTAAGGAGGAGCAGAGGAGCTGGACACCACCAGAGAGCAGATTCAGAAGAGAAAGACATAAAGTAGTAAAGCGTGAATGTAAATGGCTTTTTTAAATAACAGTTTTACAATGTGTTAGAGATAAACAAGTTCAAATAAATTGTGTTAAAAAAAGTTTTACAGTGTTTGACAGAAAAGACTATTTTGTTTCTACCACCGTATCCCATAAATGATAAATGAATGATGTACTATAGATAATACCTCCCATATATACATTAAAGTACACCCCATAAATGTATTGTTTATGATAGTTGAAAATTTAAAAATGTTTTTTACAAGCTAAATACAGTAAATGAAATCTGTAAGACAATGTTCTTTATGAGAATCTGTGCAAAAACGCCCCCTTTACTGAGAAGAAAGGAAGGACAGGAGAATGGGGTAGAGGAGATGAGAGAGGGACTGAGAGACAGGAAGGGACGATGCAATCGGATGAAAAATAAATAAATGTCTAAAAATCCATTTGCTAACATTATGTCAAAATTTTTTATTGTATTCGTTCATGTGTGTGCGTGTATGTATGCGTGTGCACAAGTGTGCTTGTGTGTACGAGTGTGTGCCACAGCATACATGTGGAAGTCAGAGAACCAGTTGGAGAAAAAGGTTCTCTACTTCTACTTCCCAGGAATAGGCTGTTTACCCTGGCAGCAAGTGCCTTTTCTTAGTGTGGCATTTTCAATAAGCTTGGCCCAGGGCCTAGCACTATTGGGGGTGTGGCCTTACTAGAGGAGGTGTAACCTTGCTGGAGGAGGTGTGGCCTTGCTAGAGTTGGTGAGGCCCTGCTGGAGGAAGTGTGTCACCGTGGAGGTGGGCTTTGAGAGCTTCCTCCTAGCTGCCTGAGGAGGCAGTCTTGTCCTGTTTGCCTTCTGAACAAGATGTTCTCTGCTCTTCCTGCACCATGCCTGCCTGGATGCTGCCATGCTCCCACCTTGAAGATACTGGACTGAACCTCTGAACCTGTAAGCCAGCCGCAGTTAAATGTTGGCCTCACAAGAATTGACTTGGTCATGGTGTCTGTTCACAGCAGTAACACCCTAACTAAGACCCTCGGTGTTCTAGGGTTACAGTTGCTGCAGTGAAACACCAGGTCCAGAAGCCAAGTTCAGGAGGAAGGGGTTTATTTTCCTTATACTTCTACTTCCACAGTATAGTCTATCGCTGAAGAAAGTCAGCACAGCAACTCCAACAGGGCAGGAACCTGGAGGCTTGCATAAGCTGATGCAGAGGCCACGGAGGGTGCTTCTTACTGGCTTTCTGGGCCTACTTTCTTACAGAACCCAGGACCACCAGCTCTGGGATGACACCACCCACAATGGGCTGGACCCTTCATCTATCAACCACTAGTTAAGAAAATGCCTTACAGATAGATTATGAAGGCATTTTCTTATTTGAGGTTCCCTTCCTTTCAGATAACTCTAGCCTACGTCAAGGTGACAAAGTTGGCCAGCACACTGCACTGAGTCATCCTGCCAGACTACAAATAACCTCAAATCACGTCTACCAAGAGTGAGAATAGAGAAATGAGCAGGAAGTTTACTTAGTTGTGTACTATAGAGAGGGGAGTAATTCCAAACTTCAATACGCCTCCCCCACTGCAGTAGTGGGGTTTGAACACACGCCAGGTAAGCATACTCATTGTACTCTCAGACCAATACAATACAGTTTATGGTTAACAAGTGCCTTACATTTAAATAACACTTAATTTTCGATTTTTAAGATTTACATACTATAGAAAGAATCCACGTTTGAGCTTTTGAGCTTTTGAATAGAGGAGAGCATATCAGCGCGTCCTTACCTCTCTGGTTTGGTGCTCGCTCACAGGCTGGAGTCTAGGTACAGCCTTAAGCTGATGCTCTAGCTTCTGTATCTCCTGCTGAAAAACGTCTCTCTCATGTTCTCGATCGATGGCCTGCTCCTGAAATTTAATGATAATAACAATATCAACAACAACGACAATGATAACGGTGTGATGGCACACGCCTGTGATGCTAGGACTTGTGAGGCAAAGGCAGGCGACTTCTGTGAGCTCAAGAGCAGTGGAGTCTACATAACAAGTTCTACCAACCAGGGCTTCCTATGCGACCCTTCTAAAAAAATGGACAAAAACAAAACACTCTAAGGCGTATGAAACAGCATTATTTATTTAATACGTTTTGTCCCTATTATTTCTTATATCCTTTTAGCTAGAGGTTGATACACAAACACCCCAAAACCATAAAGGCTTAAGAGGAAAACACATTTTGAAGGGTTATATTACATTGCCTATTTGGGCTCTTCAAAAGAAATCTGAGTATTTAAAAGTCATTTGCAGCACCATCCGTTTTGTTTAAATGTTAAATACAGAAGACATGGAAGATGAGTTTGTGTTCAGTCATAGAACAAATGCGCAATACATAAATCAGTTTGTTTAATCCTATTATATAGACTTATACCTAAAAATATAAATTGTCTGCAGCAGATTGCCTGGGCAAGGGAAGGTCATACGCTTCTGAACCCTAAAGAAATGTCCCGTGTGGAAAGTGGAAAACAGCACCATTTTGGGCGAGAGTAATGGAAGCATGATGGATGAGCCACCCTGGGAGCTCCCGTGCTTCCGGCACAGAGCCGTGGGAGCTCCTGTGCTTCCGGCACAGAGCCGTGGGAGCTCCCGTGCTTCCGGCACAGAGCCGTGGGAGCTCCCGTGCTTCCGGCATAGAGCCGTGGGAGCTCCTGCAGCTCTCAGTGGTGACTACTAGTTAATGGAAAAAGTAGACAAAGCTTAACTCTGAGTTTGGAAACCTAGCTGCTCAGGGTTATTCACAAACTGGGTGTGCTCTGAAAAGGTCTTAAATGTCTTAAATGTATATTCATGCATTATATACTTCATTTTTATTTGTTGTTGCAAGGAATTCAACTCAGAGACTCTGAATACTAAGCAAACTTGGGTTGTATTACTGAGCTAAAGCCTCAGGTCTAGTGGCCATCCAACCAGCCAGCCATCGATCCATCTATCTATTCACCCATCTACCTACCCGTGTCCTTCCATCTGTCCACCCACCCATCTATCTACCGGTCTGTCCATTCATCCATCTATTCATCCACCCACCTACTTACCAATTCATATCTATCCATCAAACCAAGCAAGACAGGGTTTCAGAACGTAGCCCAAGCTGAAGACACTTACATCTAAAAACTTCCTCATTTTTTCGAGCTGCTTTTCCAGTGCCTGGCTTTGCTGCCTGAGATCGATGAGCTCGGCGTTCTTCTCCTGCTCCAGCTCTATAAACCTACTGACTTGCTCTTCAACATCAATTTCCAGAGCTTTCACTTGCTTCTGAAGGTCGCCGCGGACTTTTTCAGCTTGACACTGTACTTCCAGCTTTTCCTTCATTAGTTTTTCTGTCTCCTGCAGAAATTCTGTTACAGATGTGACAGTGCATTTGGTTAAATTATGATTCATAATGTTATGATAATGAGTCATTGACTATACTCTCTTTAAACTTTATCTTCATGAAATAATGGCTGAGAATTACTTTAAATACATTAAAACATAAATACTCTGTACACCAGGCTGACCTCGAACTCACAGAGATCTGCTTGCCTCTGCCTCCTGAGTGCTGGGCTATGCCTGAATCTCTCAGAGAAGAACGGAGAGTGGCTTCAGTGAAGTACAAGAGCTATAATCTCCTAGTAAATTTTACATTAAAACAATGTATGGTTTGTTAATACTTTTTTCAAAGTTAACCAGTGCTTTAAGTACAAAAGTAAATGTTCTTTTCTGGAACTATCAAACTATCTTACTCCTATACAAGAAAACAAATGACTATTAATAAAATCACAATGAATTAACAAAAAATGAGGACTCTTATTACAAAACGATATTTTTGTGTAAACAACAGTAAATTAAAAAAATAATACATTGAGTTAAATGAATTTTCATGGTTAGGAAAAGAACAAAGTTCAACTGAATTAAAACCAAATGCTGACCACATTTTTAACCATAGGCAAAACTCAGTCCATTCCAAAGCCATACACTGTAAATACAGTAAGCAAATCCTGTAAATCTTTAACCAAGGAGAGGGGGGCAGAAGGAGGAGGGTGAGTACAACCAGAACTCCTGGTCCGTCTTAGGCTTTGTAGTGTTACCCATGAGCTACCTTCTCCTGTTTACACGGTGTGCGTTAAGGGAACAGGAGCATGTACGGGGGCCGTGTGGTTAGTGCAGCAGGAGCAGACTGTGACATCTTCAGTCTTATTATGAGCAACTGGAGATGAAATAAATTAACACATGTCAAGGACAGTGTCTGGGGTATAGGAGGGACAATGTGGAGATTAGCTGTTGTTACTGTAGTACAGACAGCAAAAAAGAACAACCACAAAAACCACCTCCAAACCTGTTAGATTTACTTATACTAACTATATACCAACACTGTATTCAGATCTGGGATCTACAGAAAACATCTTTTCTTCTAAAACAATACCACTGTTAGATGTTACTATCACCACACGCTGCCACAAAGGCTCTTAGAAATCACTGATCCTTCCCCACCATCATCTCATGAGCTGTTTTGTTTTGAAAGAACTCTCCAAAAAATTAGAGACCAGAGAGCTTAAGGGATTCATAAAACAAAAAAGGTGTTTCTTAAAAATACTCAGTATTTTCTTTGAAAATTCCAAGTGGTTTTGGGCTCTGTGCAAAAACAGATGAAATAAGATGATGGCGACTCTGAACCTCGGTTGTTAATAGCAAATCGAAACTTGTTTTTATTATAAATTAAGCTGTGTTACTGTTGGAAAAAAATTGTAAGTATGAAAGAAACACAATAGAAAAACTGCAAAATTAGAAATGTTAGTTGATAATTAAGGATCACCAAATTTTTAGTTGTGAGTCTACCACCCAACAACAGTGCATGCAACTCTCTGCACACACCTGCTCCAGGTGCTGCATCAGCTGCAGCATCTACTGGCCCTACAAGAGTAAAGACAAAACAAAGAAAACAGAAACATAGTTACGGCTTCTACGTCCTCAAATATGATAACATATCTGCACACGCTAAAAAGCTGATGTCACTGGGTATCGCGGATACCCACAGTTCTATGTCTCTTGCATATTTTGTAGGTTTGATATAAGATCTCTTAACTTTAAAAAGTCCAGCCCTAAACCTGTGTCAAATTAATATAATATGAGCACCCTCTCAGGGGAGATAATGTAGGTTGTATTTCTAAGTTGGTAAAACTGGAAAAACTTCAAATTTATAAAGTGCAACTACAAGTTTAAAATCAAAGAGGGTACTCGTAAGCAGGATTCGAAGTTTATGCTCACAAAGACAGATTTTCACCACTCAAACTTTAAATTCAAGATGTAAAAATCAGTCATTATAAGTGAGTTAAACATCCTGTGAATCTTCCTGACCAGGATGTCAGATGTCCTCCGGGTCTCCTCGGCTTTTGTCCCCACACTGCCTACCTCTGCCTATAAGCAGCACCAGATCAGTACTTAGGACATTTACATGACCTCTCTCCCACTAAATAACTCTGCCCTACCTATTTCCAAAAACACACAGCCTCATTACTTGTAGCTTTTTTCTTTTGATACAGATGTTTTAGCATAAGTAATCTTCTTTTCCTGTTAACAGTTAATATCCTTAAAAGGCAAAATAGAAAATATGATTTCATAAAAATGGCTACTAACAATTTGCCTTTAAAGTATATTTTAAGATTTTTCAAGTTTGCATATAAAATATATAAATAATGTCCCTGAAGAGGATACCCTGTCATGGGAGCCTCTGACAGTTATAAACAGAAGAGGAACTGTAAGATACAAAGTCTCAGTACATACGCTGCTCCACAGGGCCAGCCTCTGCTCTCATTGCCTCCCTCTGCCTAGACAGCAACTCCCGTTCCTCTTCCATCCGGTGCTGGTCTGACTCCAGTTCTTGCAGTCTGTTGTTCATACATAATAACTCCTGTTCAAGATGCTCTATTATATCGTTTTTTTCTTGAATTTGCCTTTCAAAGAGAGTTTTTTCATCCGAGTACCCATCAATGACACCTATAGGACAATGGAAGGAAATGGACTTGTTTCTAGCCTTGAATATTATGATCCTCCTGCCTCAGCCTTCTGATTGTAAAGATAGCAGATGTGTGCATCTAAGCCAAGGTTACTACTAGATTTTAATAATAACAAGAAAAAACATTCTGTTAGCAAAACTTTAAATCACTTCATCCTATTAAAAGCTGAATGAACTTTTAAAACCTGAAGATGAACCTTACTGTCATTTGTACAGTGTAGTCCTTTTCTTGTTCACACTGTGAATAAATATGAAATTTCCCCTAAACTGTCCCGTACTTTGCTCTAAAGTACCAAAACACACATGTTACTCCATTTTTCAAACAAACATAAATAGACAGGCTCCTGGGATTCAAATGCTTGTGAATTGAATCACATTTTAACTATACTAGAGAAGGCTGATATTTAAGCAATTCTAGAAGGCCAACACCCTCGACGCTGCCAGAGACTAGAAGGCAGCTTTGGAGGCTTACAGCCTACAATACCCATTTAATTATGACCTTATGCCATTCAAATAACAGTTTAGTATCAGCTTTCTCATTTTAAAGGAATTATCTGAGGCTCACCATCATCTACTTTTGAATCATCTGGAATTTTTAATCTTCTCTCTATAGTCTTTGTAGTGTGTATAAGAGTGTGTGCGTATGCATGTACACACCCCTGTGCATGCATTCCTAGTTTTTTTAATTACCTAGGGAAGCTCTGAGGATAAACTATAACTATTTTTCCATGGTCACTTTAAGTCACACTGGTTTTTCCTAAATGGCTGTGCATCAACATCTCTATTTTAAGACTGAAACGGCTCCTGTCTCAGTGGCCACAGGCTTACTCTCAGCTTTATTGAGCTCCTCAGCCAGCTGCTCTCTGGCCCGGGACTCCTCCTGAAGGCGCTCTCGCAGTTCTTCCAGGCAATGAAGTGACTCTGTTGCCTCTTGTTTTTGTCTAAATGACTCACGCATCAACTCTGTCTGTGTAACTTTCGCATGTTCAAGCTAAACCAGGAGGGCAAGAGGACAAAAAGGAGATTAGTGATGAGAATCCAGTGTCATTTCTCATAAACAAGCAAAAAACTAAGAAAGGATCTCAAGTAAAGACATCTTATTAAATTTCAGCCAAACTCTTACAGCAGGTGGGATAAGCCGTGACAGATAGCACATATTTCTGTAAGAGATAAAGGCTAGTTTTAGTGAGCTAAAGAACACGCTTCTCACTTTAAACCAGTGGTCATAGGTTCTATCATACAAAGGTGGAGCACAGCGCTACTGAAGGAAAGCGCTCACTGTACTTGCTACAGACTCAGGTAACTGTCGTCTACACAAACCTTCAACACTTTGACTGTGACGTTCTTCAGTACTGTGAGGTGCACTAATGTATGACATCAAAAGCAAAATCACAGAGATGCAATAAATGAAATTATAACATATGTGTTTATTAAACTCAAAGCTTTGAACTTCTGAAAGAATTTATAAAAACTCTAAAGCTTCTGAAGATATTCCAAACATTCAAAATCTAGTAGCCCTCAAATGCTACCAGCAGACCCTTTCCTGACTGAGACAGTAAAGAGACTGGAGTCACAGCTTTCAAGCAGGAGGTAAGCAAGGCAGTACTTCTGAGTCAGCTGTGTGAAGTCACAGAGGCACTGCCTATCTTCTGTCACCTCCTCAGTGTCTGTCCTAGTCTGCATGAGTCTACAGCCTTCAAACACAAGTAGCTGTACATGTCAGCAACAGGGTCATAGCAAGTCTTGGAAATCTGTTAAGTTTTATACCTACCTTGTGCATCTCAAAGATATAACTACCAAGCATTAAATTTAAAATATAAGCAAATATACTGGTTTCTAGCTTAGACATCAGTAAAGCATCATAAAATAATTAATACTGACATATAATTATATACATTAATATAATTCTAAGTGTATAATTATAAACAATATAATATAAATACAGAATCAGAAGTATAATTATAATTAATATATTGATATAATAGTCAAAATGTAATACTTAATAGTACTTCTGTGCTTCACATTAGTATTGACTGTAAAATGGAGACTGTATTGTCACAAAAGCTTACAGTCACTCTAAATGAGTAGCTCTCAACCTTCCTAATGCCGCGCTCCTTTACTGCAGTTCCTCATGTGGCAGTGACTCCAACCATAAAACTATTTTTGTTACTACTTTGTAACCATAATCCACTGTTATGAATCATAATATAAGTATCTGTTCTGTGATGGCCTTAGGAGACCCCTGTGACAGGACACTTTGACCCCCAAAGGGGGCACAACCAACAGGCTGAGAACTGCTTCTCTAAATAATGTCCAAAATATAAAATTATTCTTATTTTCATAAGATGTTTAAAATACCACTTAAAACATTATTTCAATGGGAATTCATATGAAATGGAAGCTATATCACCACAAAAGGATAAAGCTTCATCTAAACACTTTGACTTGTCATTGGGAGCAGGACTTGATTCTTTTTAAATGTAAAATACACATTCACTTGGATTACAGAGAAACAAGACATAAAGTGTGAACTCATCTATATACAAGTACCTTTTTGAATTTAGTTGCAACCCCTATTTCTGAAAGTATTACTTGCTTCTGCATATGCACATGCAAATCCCTCCCGTAAATTATCTAATTGTTACCTACTAAAAATGGGAACTGAGTTCAGGGCTGTAACCAAATTAGCTGTATTTCATTCTGTATTTCAAATTTATTACAGAAACTCAACAAAAGATTTAAAACAAAATAATAAAATCCAGCTTTGCATGAGTGAATTGCCAAACGGTTGTTTTTATCTCTCATTTCACAAGATGAAAACTAGCTAGCTTGACAGTGCATTTAAAGATTTACAATAAAAACACCAGCAAAAATACAAAACAAAACAAAAAAGTTAAACCAATCAAACAATAATGCTACCAAACAAATTAAACAGGTAGCAGCACAGTGGGATGCACACCTCACGGGGATAAAAGACTCTCTTCAAATGTTTGCCTAAATCATTTATTCTTACATCTCTCTCACCTGCGTAGGGCATGACTGATTCCTACTATGTGTAACAGCATACACTATATAAACAAAAGAACTACAGAGCTTTCACTCCTCAGCCGGCGACACGGAGGTGTGGCTAAAGCATTAGTAACGATGCTGTCACTTCAGAAATTGTTGGTGAGGCAGCAAAACTACTCTGAAAGTTCTGGCATGTTAAACATTAGCTAGGACTTATAGTTAAAGCCATGCAAGTCATAAAGCCAATGCTGACTAGGATGTAGAGAATGTTCACAACTCATTTAAGGATCCTATGAACCGGAAATACTGAATATGAAGGCAATTTTAGGCCTTCATTTAACTTTAACAGTATTTCCAAAATACATTTCACTTTAAAGGCTGAAAAGGTTATTTCTCTATAGAATTATTAGGCCCATTAAAATAGAAAGTCAGTCCCCGAGGCTGTAAAAAATGTTTCAGAATACAAGCTCATTTTCCCTTGTCTAGAGCTCTGGCCAATAGGGAGGGCATCTGATTACAAACGTGTTCTAACTGGTTCTGCAATCCTCGAGGCAGTTCTAAACACAATATCTACTCTCGAAAATACATTCATTTCACTTTAAATTTTGGATCAGTATTACACACGAACAGAGATTCTCACAGACATGAAGGATCTTTTTAAACAGCTGGACTAGTGCTGGAGAAATGGAGTACTGAGCTTACGCCACTATCTGACATGAAAAGCAGCTAAGTTGGAGTTTCAGGAGTAAATTTAGCCCCTCCACACCTCAGGTGGATGAGCAGTAGCACTCCGCCAATCGCAAAGCAAGGGCTGGTTCCAGTCACCTCTCTACGGACAGTGCCGTTCTCATCTCATTACAGCTCACTACAGTCCTAAAGTACTACTGTATACTTACTGAATAAGGAGGTGTAGGCAGTGAAATTTTAGAAATAAGCTTTACTATATGTCCGTTTCTTTTGTGAGTAAAATGAAAAACAGAAGTGTTGATAATTACGGAGTTGCTGTCATCCAAATGTTCAGACAGAGGAAAAGGATATGGCAAAGGCACTCGAGACTCAACTTCATAGACGTCTTCCTCCTGCTCTTCCAACCACAAGCCACTGGGCTGGCCAGTGGCCAAGTAGGTCCTGTAAGAATCCATTCTAGATAAAGCTGCCAAGGTTCTCCGCCTGTTCCACCCGTTCTTCTCTTAACTACATCCTAACTACATCACAGAGTTCCTGTTAATTTATTCAGAGATCCCATACTGGCACAAAGTTTTCTTTTTAATACTCATGAGTAAAATGAATTCATATAAACTGAACAACGAAAGATACAAAAGTTCAGCTTAAAAAAAAAACCTCAAAATTTCAAAAAAGTTCATCAAGTCAAAAAACACAAAAGCAACAAATAAATAGATAAATGCAACAACTTGGCTTAGACATGAAAATGCTTCCAGCCAAAACTTCAGCTAAAATTAGACAATAAATCTTTCTGGTTGTAAAAAAAAAATAAAAATAAAAATAAAAAAAATAGTCCCAATTGGAATCATTAAATCCTTGTCAAATGAAAGAACAAAGTTATAAAGATCTAATTAGCCTAGCAAAGGCACTGCTCTCTGTATCCAAGGTATCTGTGGTAATAAATAAGCCTTCTACGCAGAGCTTGGCAGGCAAGGTCAGCTTGTAAATCTCCATGGCAGCACTCTTGAGAAAGGCAGCTGAGTGACTTTCCCTTGCTCCTCAAGCAAGATTCAAAAGGAAAAGCTCCTCTGAACTGAGCTATTCAAATGACCTCCATGCTGAGCCAAAGGTCTAAGTCAGTGTCCCTGAGGAACTGAGCAGAGGGTGTGGCTAAATGTCTGTGTCTATAGGTAAGCCAACAGGTGGCCAGTGAGCACGCCCACAGGAAAGCCTGCCTAACAGGATCCAGGTTCCACGTCAGAGCTTGGAGAGGGCATTTAGACAGGTTTATAGTGCTGAGGAAGATAAGCTAGTGTTTCCCATCCCACTAAAAAGTTACTTTAAGACTATAAGACAGAAAGTATGCTCGTGTTCATAGTATTCAATTCAAGTCTGTCAAACAATCATTATTTCTGAATAAAACTTGACATTTACTTATAAATAAGACATTTAAGAAGTCATTGGCCTATAAATGTTTTGGTTATAACCCATTTCTACAGTTTCTAGAATGTACATTGAGGAAAATGTTCTTTGTATTATAATATAATACTTGGCAATTACATTCTCTATAACAGCCTTTGAACCCTGACTAAGATGTTAAGGCCCACGTTTTAAATAACAGCCAGTCTCGGGTAGCTCCAGAAACTTAAGCAACAGTGAGTGAAACAGCTCAGAACTTTAAAAGATATTTAACTTACTTAAAAACTATTCTTGATAATTAAATAGATTCTCAATTATGAATTGCTTTAAATAAGACAAATGGGAAAACATACTAAAGCAAGCAGGTAATATCATCCAGTATTTGTTTTATAGTCATTCTAATTACATAGTCTGTGCTGGGATTCAAATTTTTCCTAGTAAACTAGTAAGCAAGGAAAGAGAAGGGGAGAGGGTGGGGGGAAAGACAGAGTGACAGAGAGGGATAGAGGGAGACTGAGATTCATTTTCCACAGGAAGCCCTGAAGCCTAGCCATGATGTCTGTGGTTGGGAAGCGGTGAAGGAGAGGTCTTTACACGCTGGCTACTGTTTATTACAGATGCTTATAGCATCAAGCTAGTCAGAGAAGATGCCTTATTACCTACCTATACAAGATGGTGGGATAATTCCATTACTGCTGTGGTTAAATGTAATTTTACTTTGTGTCTCTCTGTGTGTGTGTGTGTGTGTGTGTGCGTGCGAGTGTGTGTGTGTTGCATGTATGTATAGAGACTAGAAGTGGAAGAAGTCAGGAATCATCTTGAATTGCTCGTCTATACTATTTACTGAGGTGCAGTTTCACCATCAAACCCAGAGCTTGCCAACATAGCTAGTGGTGCTAG